ATCATATTCATCTCTCTCTAGTCCAGCTCCGGTTTTTCTTTGGTCAAATATTTTTAATTTAAGTGTAAACAACTGTATTACCGTGCTTATCAGCTAACTGAGCCGTCAAAAAGCAGCCAATCAGAGCCGAGCTGCTGTGAAACACTTACTGCTTGAAGAAGTTCTCAGGTCGTCTGCAGTAGTGGCCGAACAGAGGAAACAGGTTTCTGCTCATGTCGAACTGGAGCTGCGCTGCTCCGCCGTCACTGAAGTGATTCGATAAAATGACCTGAGAGGACGGCACACAGAAGAGAGGAGAGGGTAGAGATCAGGGGTCTCATTTATATCTCCAAAATGAGCGTACGCATGGGTCAGAGCTGGCGTGAGGCACCGCACATTTTCACGTCAAGTTTGGATTTTATAAATCACAAAGTTGGCGTAAAAAGTGGCGTACGCAAGTTTCTGGGCTCAAATTGTGCGTACGCCAGTTTTATAAATCTGACCCCAGCTGTTCACCTGAAAATCACATCAAACATTCTTGTTATTAACACAGTTTGTTTCACACGAATCATAGGCTGTGATCAAACATGAGAAGAGATATTTGTTGTATCAGAGGAAACAGCTTCACATTATAGGAAAGCAAATCACCCACCAACAATGGAACATAAGGACACACACACTACAAGTTTTTTATTTATTGCAAGATTAAAGTCGTATTAGCAGAAAAATGTTGCACAAGAATAAAGTAACAGCCTAATACTACAAGAATAAAGTAGTAATATTATGAGAACTCTAACATGAAGAAGCAGTCTTAGCACTGAGTTGAAATAAGGAATGTTGAGCATCATGTGGTTCTACTTTACTTTAGTATCAGTTTTATAAATAAAGAAATACTTCATCTTTTAACACATCAGCATCAGATTATCAGTAGAAGGACTTGGAAACGATCGTACTCACGACTAAATGGATTCTTAGGATAAACTGAAGCTTTAGGTTTTGAAACTTTATTCTCAAAACAGAAGAATTCTCTTTTGGCCCTAATACTCAGTCGTACATGACCCCTTCAGTCCACACTTCTTCTCTTATTATTGTTATTGTTTTTATTATTATTATTATTATTATTATCATCAGTGGTGGGCAACGCTAATCCAAAACTTAGTTCCGCAATTTCTAAAGTGCTCATGAAAATATTTAGGTTCGCAACTTCAAAAACGCTTATGTTATAGAAATACTTGCAGAAGCTAATTTTAAAGTGCAAGTTCAATTTAACACTCACTAGCTGGCAACAATTCATATACAATATTTGCACAACACTGCCAACTAGTGGTTTATGAACTCTTTTACAGCTTAGTCCTACAACCGCCGATTGCTGGGGATGTGATTTCATGAAACAGAACTTTGGCTCCTGGTGTAAAAATTAAAAAGTTGTTGAGGATTGCTAGTTCGGCTGCTTCTTTGTCTTTTTCTTTTGTTTGTTGTAGATTTTTCATTAAAGAAGCATCAATAAAGTAATTTTAAAACAGTTTATTGGAAAACATGACGGGGTACATGTAACATGACGGATTTGATTTGTGATGGGGAACAAAGGTTTTCCAAGTAGTTGCTCCAGTTGACCACTAGATATCTGTCTAACCCCATTGGCGGATTGCTTCAACGAATTATGTCAAGTATTGAGCTCCAGCGTTTAAACTTTATTTATTTTTTTAAAAAGTAGCTCAGATTGTAAAGTAAAATAAATCAATACATACCAAATTTTAGTATGAATTAGAAACATTTACTGTTTTTGCTGGGAAAGGGAGTTCTAAACATTGCTTTCCTGCTACGTAAGCAGACACAAATCATTGTGGGAAATGAGAACCATGACCAAAAGCAACAGTCAGCAAGGATGTATACCTTCTCAATAAGTGTGTTTATCTGGGAGGGGTTCTGTTGGACAGATCATGTGTTGTGATTCATTGACAGTCATACCTTCCACTGTTCAAAATAACCATATAACCATAGGTATGTAAAGTACTTGAAAAACAAAGTAAAAGTAACAAGGTGGAACTGGACTACCTACCTGCCTTTGAAAAAAATACCAGTTTTGTATGATGTCCAAATCTAATCAGACTGGGTWCTACCCTAATGGAGTTAAAATGCTTATTTTTAAGGACATAATTTCATTCAGGAGATATCGTGCACACAAGACCACCCATGACAGAGGTACACGGTGGCCCCAGTGGGCGGAGCCATAATAAATACATAAACATAAAATGACTTTGGTAAAAATGAGTTTCACTGATAAGAAAAGTACTGCAATTAATTACAATAATTGGGAAAGTAAAAGTACCTTTACACCAAACTGGTTCCACTAAACTGAGTTGAGTAAATTTAACTCTTCGTTTTTTAGCATATAAACAACTCTTTTCATGATGAGTTCTAATCTAATTTAAATTTGCAGTGTGTGACTAGGTGTTACATTTTAAAGTAAAGAAGTAAAAGTATCATTTTTAGGTTCTGAAAATAACAAAATAAAAGTAAAAGTTACAATTTAATTTTTTTTTATAAAATTACAAATACTGAAAAAATGTACTTATGTACTGTAACAAAGTAAATGTACTTACTGTAGTTACTATAAACCTTTGAAAATAACTATGTGATCTGAGATGTTGTCTTTCCTGCACAGGAAACTTTAGCTCAGTAATTGTAAACTGAGTTGTTTACAGTTGTTTACAGTTGTTTAAACTGTAAACTGAGTTGTTTACAGTTGTTTACAGTTGTTTAAACTGTAAACTGAGTTGTTTACAGTTGTTTACAGTTGTTTACAGTTGTTTAAACTGTAAACTGAGTTGTTTACAGTTGTTTAAACTGTAAACTGAGTTGTTTACACTGTAAACTGAGTTGTTTACAGTTGTTTACAGTTGTTTACGGTTGTTTACAGTTGTTTAAACTGTAAACTGAGTTGTTTACACTGTAAACTGAGTTGTTTACGGTTGTTTACAGTTGTTTAAACTGTAAACCGTAAACTTGACCCTAGC